GAACCGACGCGAGAGCTCCGCGGGTATCTCGGCGATGGCAAAAGTAGCGGTTGTTAAACTTTTTACCTCTACCGCCGTGTAGATACTCCTGTAGATGCTGCTCAAGTTTGAGGGTTGCCCAGCTGGCACATTAACGGTACTTCTTGATACCGTTTGATCGCGTTCGCACTTTAGACGCGGAAAGTGCGTCGTAATTTCGCGCCCGCCCCGCGCAAGTCTTGCGAAACGGCTACATTGTAATTTGAACGAAACAATTGGCCGCCTTATCTGTTCCGCCGAGAGAGAATCCCGTTTAAAGGCTTGATCGACGACGTAAAACAGGCCGAGGGATTTGCCTAAGAGATGGCCCCGTAAAATGCCCCCGTAAAAGAGAAGTCTCTTCTGAAAACGCTCTTCACCGCCAGTTGAATGTGGGCAATCGCGAATACGAATTTTCGAGCAATATATTATCGCGGGAATAAAATTGAAGTAAAAAGTGCTCCTTCGAATGAATGACGTAATTACGTATTACAGCGATACTCGGTTTGAAATAACTAAAATTTTTTATTCGAAACGGCACTCGCGGATTTTTTTATCGTCGAATATCGCGGTTAAATATTTGAACGTATAATATTAAATATTTTAAACTTTTCTATTTTATTTCGTCTGTTTAATATTATAATATTTTAATATATTAGTATATTTAAATATATTTATTAATATAAATATAATTCAGGGTACTTTTTAGTCAGCGCGCACTCGAAAGAGACGCACTGTACGTAACAGTATACATACGTACAGTGAGATTATGGTACTTGTACACAAAGCAGTTCTCGCAGATTACTTTACCTGAAATTGCGCGGCTTCATTATGTACAAGGAGCTTAATGAACTATTCGTAGATGAGAGCTCGTTTTACTAATGAACAGGAATACTTTTCCTTAAGACGATCACGAAGCGGATGAATCACGGTTTGCGTGTATACATAATTATTTCGAAGAAATAATTTAACACAGTTTCCGCATGAATGTCTAATTTACGCGAGGCATTATAATGGCATTTTCTGGCGGGCGTATCATTTTTCGCTGTAATAAACTTCAAGGTGCTTATTAAGCCATAATTGACTCCGGATATTCACGCAACCCAGAATTGCAACGAAACATCTGGGGCGAATAAATTAGTATGCGCGTATGTGTCCGCACGTGCGAATTGAATTATTACAACATCTATTTTGCACGCGGGATTTTTAAATAGCTTTCCCGTCGCGTACATTTGGGGAAGCACGAATGCGAGGGGAGTGAGAAAACGAAGTGATACGTGTGAGGGATTATAGTGTAAGAGCGTAATAAAAGTTTTACTACTGACGGGGCCGTAAGCAACGCTGGAACAAGGAGTACCGTGCAATAAAGTAACAAAACTAAGAAGTCCAGCGTTACGAGAGAGGACCGCTGTATGCGCGAGCGTACATCTTTACCTCCGCTTAAATCGTAAAAATAATGTGGAGAATAATTCCAGGTATATAAAAAGTATCCCGCCCTTTTTGTTGAATTTTATTAGGGGTACTCGTATTCTACGTCGGCAACTTTCTCGCCAGGAAGCTTTCTATGTATCGCATATCGCGCGCCAAGTTTATTCGTCAACATTTTCTGTTTACCAACGTGAAGTGTTTTTTAAGCGACGACGAGAGTTTGGCGAGGAAATATGAATTTGTCATTTTATAATTTCGTTTATCGCGAGAGCAACATTAGTATAAGGGTTTCGTAAATAAAAATTCTTCAGATGCTTTTATGCTTTTCACGTTAGCTTCACGAGACTTGACGCAATATCGTGAGGTCTCGTGTTCGTTTTCTTCAAGTTTCTGCCATTTCGATTTTCGTACGGATGAAATTTCATCTGAAATTGATCGCGAAGGGTTAACGAGACGCGAAACTTGAATCTTGAATTCTAGAATATCGTACCCGCGAGCTATCGTATCGTTCCTCTTCGACAAATATGGGCAATTCTACCGTCTACCCCGGTTGATTCGATGCCTTTTGGATGAATCTAGGGTAACACGTTTTGCTTTTCTATGATAGTTTCGGCAACGCGGACTGAAAGCAAAAAAAATTGCCTTGCAATCAAGCCACTGCCGTTCGGTGTATCAAGAGGCGGATTTGTGTTGCAGTAAAAAAATTCAATTTACCTTTTTCATCTATTTTTGCGTTTTGCTTTTTTATTTGTTATCGTTACATCTCTGTCGCTCTCAAGTGCTGTCTCGTTTTATATAAACGGCTAATTAAATGTAAACCGTAGGATAATTCGTGTAGAAAATACGAGTCGCTTTGCGCGCTATTTCTAGCAGATATAATAATTTATGTCCATGGTCAAGTACAAATACTCGCGTTATCGCACATAATTTGTACGGCACGTACTATTTATCAAAATAAGTGGTGCTTAGACAAGCTAGGTATGCCCTGGAACATCTAAATTAGGCCGTTGGGCTAATTTCCGCGCTCGGATATATTCGGATATACGAGTAGTGTGTACCATTTGAATTACAAATTTAGCCCAGGATGCACACCATTCATCCCTTCAACGATATTTAATTACATTATTAAGCGCATAAAAAATGCCAAAATTAAATTAATTCCGCTTCGGAATACACACTCAGAGAATTTTCTTTTAAAATTTATTCCGAAAATCATATGATCGTGGGACAACATGGCATTTTGAACAACTTTATGAGTTTTTGAAATTTTACCGTACATTTTACTAGTAAAATGTATACTAAGTACATTCTCTAGTGAAATGTACAGTAAAATTTAAAAAAAACTCATAAAATTCTTCGAAAGGTCGCGTTGTCCCACGATCACATAATTTTCAGGATAAATTTCAAATGAGAATTCTCTGTTTGTACAATTGATGCTGAAGCTCACGCAACAAAAACTGCGAAAATCACGTGATCGTGGGACAACATGGCATTTTGAACAACTTTATGAGTTTTTTGAAATTTTACCATACATTTCAGTAGCGATTGTACTTGGTATACATTTTACTAGTAAAATGTATGGTAAAATTTCAAAAACCCATAAAATTCTTCGCAATGCCGCGTTGTCCCAATTACATAATTTTCAGGATAAATTTCGAAAGGGAATTCTCTCCGTGAGAGAATTAATGCTCACGCAAGAAAAACTGCGTTCTTTACGCACTGCCCATGCGTCCTTTTTATTGCTTATAATTTCGAGAGTCTAATTTATTTATTTTAAATTCCGAAGTTTTTACGTTGTTGTAAAGTTTCCCCGCTGGTCATTCCTGTTCGTCACGGCGGGCATCCACGTAGGTTACATCCATTTTTTGGGTTACAAATGTCAAGCGTGCCGCGCTCGTGAACATGATCAAGAGAAACATTGCGTTAAAGTATATATCTCTCGCGTCGCAGCGGCGTGTCGAAGGGGTTGAAAGGGGAAAAAAGGAGGCCCGTTATTTCTTTTTTCCCTTCCGCCTTCATTTAACCGGGGCCGAATTTTTTCGTCGTCGGCACGAGCCGCTCGCGCGACGAGTCAACCGCAAAGTAAATTGAATATCATCCATCGACATGCCAGGCTATTTCGGGACCACTACTTAATTCCCATCGCTAGGGCGACCCTCATGATTGGACTCGGCTTACCGCAGAGAAATTCATCTAGACAGGACTTGCCTCTGTCACCTGCCAGTCTTTGATAAACGCTCGCCATTAAACGGTCCCGATATCGCGCAACAAATTATAAAAAAATGTAAGAAATGATGCACTCAGCGCTACTTTGCTGGAATTAGTCGCTTTAATTAAACGTAGTGGTGTCGTTGCAACGACGTCGGGTAATGGGCAATCCCTTTTTTGCGGAGAGCATCGGGTGCTATCCGAAAAAGAAATGAAAAAGACTGCGATTTATCTTTGCCTACGATATATTCGATATATTCCTCGCGCGTGCTGTAATTTGCGATACCTGCGTTACGTGACCCGATACCCTCGTGCGCGTTCTTCGAAAATATTAGCGAGGTAAAACTGACGGATGCCGCGCGTCCACGAGGAGAGCATTACGATCTTTAACGAGACAGAGGCAATATTTTCGAATGAGAGAGCAATTCTTCAATCTGGAAACGATCCAGCATTTCTGTATCTCGCTTATTAAGCGTCATAGCGTGTGACGTGGGATAATGCTGCAAGGAGCGAGTCCTCCGTCGGAGCCGTTCGCAGTCGTGAATCAGCAATGGGCGCGGGTATCGAAAGTCGATACGTCATACCGTGAAATGTGAACAGAAACTCGCACAATTGCTGGAGTTTTTGGATAACAAGTCTAGCACAGGGAGTCACGTGAAAGCGCCGTGTAGGTACGTGCACGAATGCAGATAGCTCGACGTAAGCTTTTAAAAGTGTAAACTTGAAAAAGAATTCATTAATATTCTATCGATTTACTTCGATATCCACAACGAACGGAATATCAAAAGGCGTGACCCAAATTCTTATAAATTAGCATCCAAAGACAATTGCGCTGTACTGAAAATAAAACTTTATTCTTCTCTCTCTCTCTCTCTCTCTCTCTCTCTCTCTCTCTCTCTCTCTCTCTCTCTCTCTCTCTCTCTCTCTCTCTCGTGCTTTATAAAATCGTAGATTTATATTTTGTTTCGCTGCGATTTCACTTGCGGGTATTAATACTCAAATGAATATCTCTTGCACGTCGATATCGCGTATAATTCAAAATCGAATAAGTAACTCTTACAAAGGAAACAATATAATATTATTATATAGATATTCGTATATTTATAGTAAATAATTTCTTTCAAATAACGGCGAATTGTACGCAGCTGTAAACACACAACATTATTAATTTCCTGTAATTAATATTGACGTTGACATCATCGCAACGTCAGTTAATGATCAGTTATTTAACGTCCCGCCGTGTCTATGTGTACGCCACGTGTGTGACTCGCGTATACAAAATGTATTCGGGGGCCGATACCGGAGATATTGCAATTCCGGATGACGGCGGATCACAATTAACATACCTAGGAATTTATCGAACGCGAAATCCCTGCGATGTGAACTCTATGAAAATTTTCCGGGTGGCCGTCGCGCCGGATCTTCCCTCGTTCATGCTTGGCCAACTTGGTGTGTTCTCCCCGTCGTTCTAGTTGGAGAGACAGGAACATTAACCCTCGTGCAGACTAACTTCCGCGAGACTGGGTCCTTCCTAAGTCCTTCACCGAACACATTCGGCAGTCCGCCGCGTCATGCTTCGTACGTCAGCGCGGGGCGATTTCGCAAACACAATAGAAAATTTTCAGGCGGTCTCCGTGGAATTCCCGATAGTGCCGACGTCCGCGCTCGTTTTCTAAATGCGGCCGGCAAAATTTCAGTTACGGAAAAAAATTTGTCCGGCCTTTGAAAATTATTCTCCCACGGGTACTTTATGCGAATTACGTAACGATCGATGGACCGTAGTCACTGATTTTTTTTTAACGATACACATCGATTTGAAACGTGTCCGTTAATTACTTGTTCATCGAGCATACTGTTCGATTGATCGATAGACGTACGTTTTCTATCGTCCAACGCAAGTCGGGGGCTGGAGATGCTTAAAGATCGATCTCTTCCTGTCACCAGCACGCAGCACCGTATCCCCCGGAAATTCACTAGTAACCCCAAGTTCGTCGGTCCCGCGCCTATCAGTCGAGTCACGTCCGCCTTTCCTTTGGATTCCCTTTCGCACGAGCGAACTTTCAGAGTCGAGCCTGCCCACGGTTTAGGCCACGATTAATCGTGGCTGCGTCCGACGCCTCATTTTCACATGCAAATTTTTTACGTGAAAAAATTCGAGACGTTACCCCGCCAGTTTGCCAGACCGGAGAATTTCCATTTCGAGCGGTCTGGCGGAAGGAACTCGCCAGGTTTCAGGCTCTGTCATCAATTCTATCGACGTGTTTCGCGGCACGGAAGTATTACTTTTTTTTTCTTGCGTAAGTGCGGATGCGACCAGCCTGAGGTGGTTATCGAGACCTCGTGCGCGTGTCGCGGGCACCGAAATTCGCATGCAACTCGAGTTCCTCGACGGCTCTCGGCCGACTGACCGAAAACGAGGCTCTACCTCCCGCGCCTCGTTATCCGCGCATGTGCCACCGTAGATATATAAGACGAAGTTTTGGTGTAAAGTCTAGAAAAATTACATGACTGGCAGTCGAACACGCGGCAGTTGACTCATTTATAATAAAATGCGGAAGTTGCTTCCGCCTTGTGACCACAAATGGTTTTGTCATCAAACTGTAACGTGCGTGTAAATTTAACACAAATTTAAACTTTTTAATCTCTAAAATAAATCTGAAGTTAAAATTATCGAACTCCTGCAATGTAAAAGATATACCGATCATATAGATCACTGATCGATTTTCTCCTTGGGAGACACCGCGAAAAATTGTTCCCGCGGATACTGTTGCAAATGAAGAATACCTTCCTCCTCCGCTAATTGAAGGCGTAGTCGTGGAAGAAAATTTATGGGGGGGGGGGATTTTTAGTATAAATGTCGGTCCATCACGGGACTCGGCTTAGTAATAGAGATAGTCGTAGTCTGATTGTTTGATAGTCTGACAGTCTGTTGAAAATAGTTTGATTGACAGACTGACTCCTTCATTCTCACTGTTTTATAAAACTGTTATTGATTTAATTTGTTGGTTCGAGTTGGTTGATTGATCTGTTTCAACGGTACTAATTTAGTATTTAATAAAGTTAGGATTTAGATTATTATTTAAAAGGCTTTCACTCGAACATCCTCTAATTCATATTCGAAGATCGCTGCCGAAAAGTGGCGAGCTGGTTCTTAATTCCTTGCTGATCGCTGCCGAAAAGAGTGGCGGACAGAATCCTAACACTGATGCGCAAAACTAAAGGAGAAAGACGTGAAAACGTTTACGATATCAGATAAGAAGGCGTTAAAATTCGGGAGAGATCTCATTTCGTTACAACTAAAATACTATAATGTAGAAAACCTGAGTAACAATTTAGATCAATCAGCAAATAATTATCTCATTTCGATTAAATTAGTAATTAATTATCCAAATTACAAAATAATTAATAGATCTGATCCTCGTTATTTAATCTATAAACTACGATATCTTATTGGTCCAGAAATTAATTAATTCACAGAATTAAGTCGAATCCCCGGTAAAACACTTAAATGTGTTGACCGAAAAACGGACAAGATTACTTTGACGTACTGAGACGTGACAAAACTTTTGAACGTTTCCAATCGTCGCTAATTTCCCAATGTACGTTTGTAACACACACGCGCTTCAATTTTGAAACGGTAGTCAATTAGACTTCGAGATCGAAATAAAAGAAACGGGGCTTTCTGAAACAATTAACATTTACATAAAATTTAATTATAAATTTAACGTTAAATTAGAAACGTTGTATCTCGGATTCACATTTCCCCTTCTATTTACTTTGTTAAAAATGACTCTTTTTCATGGCCAGTAACATTTCCGTGAGAGTGATCTGGGACGTGTATAATATACCCCGAAACAACGCTGTATCAATAAAATTTGTACTCCCACGACAGCGCGACGGACGCATATAAAGACAGACGCGATATAGGGAGATTGATGGGCTTGCATATTAATTCCATTAAAGCTATCCAAAATCCCATCAGTTACATATAAATCCGCGGGAGGTGTTGCCTTCGAATTTCGTAGGATTCGATTCCTCGAACGTGCCTCTTCGGGGACGATAATTAATCAAGCCGCGTTTCACGAGTCTGCAAATCCCCGAGGATTTCCTCAGGTAGTCACCGGTTTTATTAAAAGAACAATCTCCACGAGCCTCCGGGAAAAGAGACTCGATCGGGTTTTATGGTGGTAAATTTAGATATCGCGCGCAAATACTCCCGGTCCATGCGGTCTGTACAAAGTGGAGAGAAGTGGATCTCCGGCTAACCCGTGGAAACTCGGAATCCTATTATATTTTGGTGGAATTCTGTAACGGATTATACGCCGGACGAAAATTCGCGTTGGAGAACCGGCTCGGCGGCGCGCGCTCGTATTAACGAGAGAAATTTGCTTACGCGGAAATCCCCCCCCCCTCTCCCCCTCCGAAGAGGCGTAACGTCGTCGAAACGCGTAAGATGCAGCTCAGCGCGCTAATTACAAGAAGTTACGCCGGCCGGAAGTAGGTTACGTTAAGCTCGGTTAAGAATGCAGGCGGACACACTCGTCAAAGTGAATGCGGAAAGCTCATAAGCACACGGGGCCGTGTGTACGAGCGGCAGCATGCAAATGCACGTGCATTCCGATTACGAAATGGAACAAGGTGTCGCGCTTTTCAATTATTTCGTTAAAGAATTTCATTAATCGCGCGCTGTAACATTGCGTTGCATTTTTTTTTTTAGATAAACCTTTGTTATTCCTAAATTACACGTAAAGCACACAAATTAATACGGCGCAAATGGATATACGTGTGGCGTGTTTTTGTACAGCTTTTTCCCCGACAGCGCACGACGCTACGACACATAATCGTAGAATTTAACTGAACTATAGCGCGCTTAAACGATAAACGCGATTGGGCACATATTACATCGCTTATGAATATGTAGAGCTCTTATATACAAAATTTGCTCGCAGTCCAATGGCTTTTGTGTATCTGCACACACATTTTGTGGTCTTGTCGAGCCAATTTCCGCGTTTCCCCAGGAAACTCTCCCATGGGCTTTGATTAAAACGAACGTAAAGGACGACCTCCGCGAGAAAATTAATCAGAAATTTTCAATACGGTAAAAACATTTTTCTCCCGCGCGGAACGCGGTATAGATAACGTATCGTTAAAAAAAGAATTTGTCGACGGAGAGAGACGGGCTGGGAAAGAGCGTACCGTATTTTTCGTCGCCGCTGCCATTATGCAATTAAAGTTTTGTTGAATCAGATATTAACTGCGGAACTTGTAAAGCATTGTAAACGGACACGTGTACGGAAGTGCGGGCGATTTTTAATTAAACTCCCAGTTTAGCTTCGATCGGACGTTTGTTTTGCCTCGTTTATTTAACGGCCGCGTTCAACGTCCGTCTACGCCACTTGCGTATGATAATTAAAGTGATATCGATTTCCGTAATGAGATGTCGAGTCTGTGGTTGCGTTGTCGCGCACGTGTCTTTACTCAGTTATGTTGTGGATTTAATCTGACGCTATCCATACGGTACGAAAGCACATCCGCAACCAACTCCGACGTTCCCATGTGTATACATGCTCTCCCCCCCACCTCTCTCTCTTCCTTCCTCTCTCGCGTATGGGTACGCGTGTGTATACGGACAATGTCACTGCGGTAATGCACATAGAGGCTGCCACATTCCGTAACCGCAAAATCTCGGCGAACGGTTTTCGAATCTGCTACGCCCGTTATGTGCAGTTTAGGAAAATTTAATACAGCTTTACACTTGCATACTGTAGCGGCACGTAATGCCAGGTGGGCGTAAATATTTTATTCGCTGTGTGCGGAATTCTCAAGAAATTATACATAGCGCGGCCGAGGCATCAAATGTTAAACGCATCAATATTGTTCTCTCAAAGAAGTCTTATCCACAGTTCGCATTTCTATTGTCGTAGGCCGGTATTCATAGTCGATTCTTATTTCAAAATCATCTCAAGTGTCGTCTTAAGACGCTAATATGGCTCTGTGATCGGTTGAAAACTCATTAATAGTATACTTAAGATAATCTTAAATATGAGAACGGACTATGAACACCGTAGATGCCGCGTTGTATGTAATAAGTTCGGCAACTAGCAGCGCTGAAAAACTATCCGTGTTTAATCACATTTAACGAAGGAAGAAAACGTTGTCGGCTTACGAGTTCTCCAAATGGATTTTCTCGAAAGTAAAACTCAAGGAGATGCGAGAAGGGAAGTTTATTCTGCGCTTTTCAGCCATTCCTGCGCAATCCCTTGTCTGTTTCGTATCGCGACTTCGGGCGCGCCCTACACATCAAAATTATGAATAAATGTACATATTAATGGGTAGAAAGAGTAATATAGGGCCGTTTGCTGAAATAGGATGGGTATCGATCTCGGGCGACTTTAATTCTTGGGCAATTTTCTCCCGTGTGCGTGTCGGTGTCGGACGCCAGATGGTGGATACTACACAGGCTTTGGTTGGCTAAAGATTTATCACTCTACGAAACTGTATCGTCAGCGGAAGGCATTTTGCTCAGCGCTTAAATGCCACAATTAGCTCTTAAATAGGCGTAAATGGCAACGCTCTAATTAATCTGTTAAGTTTATCCCGTTAAAGTAGGTATGTTAAATATGGTCGTGAAATTCCGTGATAAATCGTCGTCGGTCTCGTTTGTTGTCTTAAGGGGGTCCTAAAGCCGTCTGTTCTATCGACATTCTTTGTTCTAAGTAATCTTTTAATTGGCTTTATAGAAATGCAAAACTCTTTCGCGGAATTAAAGTACGCAGCAAAATCTAGACTATGCTGGTCGACTTTATATCAAAAGCGAAAAAAAAAATTAAAAATTTTACTAATTTTGGGTAAACTTGACGACAATATTTGCTTGATACAAGAATACTACAATAAATATACACAAAATGGGACCAGCATACTCTAGGGGCAGCATATAAGAACAATATCGTGCAATTAGAACTAAGACTAATAGCCTAGAAAAAAAGATTACTTCTAGCAAACGCAAGTCCAGAGATCCAAGTCTAGAAGAAGTCAGTAAAGCCATGGTGTTGACGATGCTAGAATTCGATCCAAAATCTCGGTCTGAGCAATGTGTGTCTAGTAAAATTGCTGCTTTTTCGTAAAAGTTGCAAATTGATTGGCTATAATTCTCGGACCGAGTAGAACTAGGAATTAAAAATGTCGATAATTGACAGTCTTTATTTCCGTCTCCAATCTTATCGACACTGATCGAGTTCGCCAGTGGCTTTAGGATCCCGGGTATAAATTTTAATTCCGTTTCTCTTGTACCGCAGTTTGCCCCGCGCGTTTCAATGCTTACGCACGTACCGGTGACCCATTAAATTTCTATAACGGATTTCACCTGTTACATAATGACAGATTCTTCGTGATATCGATGTCTAATTTTACAATCCATAGAAAGCACTTTGACGAGAGAATCTAACGTTAATAAATAACATTATCTCTTTACTGCAGCGTTTGCTAAAGCTGAAATTAAAAGCGTCTCATTGCTGTATTATGAAGCTCCGCGGAAATGTGTGCACAGCACTTTCCGGCGGCGAGAGTGTTGTGAAATTTTCTGCTAATCAATATTTGCTCGGTACACATGACGTATAACAATATGTTAAACGTTCTACAAACATTTATATTCATATTATTTCTATTCATTCTCCGGTCTGTTAGTTCGTGCATATACGACGAGTAAATGTGACACAAAATAAGGTAGAGATGAACCGGGAAATGTGCTTACCGGGCAGAAGTGGCAAGTGTTGATGTTGTACCGTATCTTCGAGCTCACGCGATATCGTACAATACGGACTTTGATCAAATAATCATTTAATCAAGAATCAATTCTCTTAATGGTGTATTAACAAAATTTGCAAAATGAAATTCTAAATATTTTAAATACAACAGCACCAAGTTCGTCAAAATTAATTAAAAATACTAGGAATGGCATTAAATGAAGTTTCTCGATGGTATCGAGCCGAAAATTCCAATCAGGAATCGCGATTTTAATATGTTATTATTTAATAAATGTAATTAAATCGCTGCACACAAAGCGTAGGGGGGCTAAATCTCACCCGAGCGTCGTGTATTTACGGATTAATTTGCAGTTGTTAGCCATCTCTCTGGAATGACGAACGGTCGCATACTCGAAGAAACTTGAAATTATTTTCGCGTCTGCAGCAGGCAGATAACGCGTTCAAATGCAATGTCCGGAGATGCCTCCTGAGCATCGAAAATCAATTTGCGACATACGCCTCCTTTCACGTCACGCATCGCTTTATGGTTGCTAAAAGCAGGAGGAGAGAGCCTTTGTGCGTCCAGATACGATAGGAAGTACAATGATAAGCAAACCGAGGCTTATATCAATTTGATTTAATACGCAACAGCGGCAAATCGATTTCCACCGCGAAAACTGAAAAGTAATTCACTTTAAATAGATTTACTGTCGTTTACAACGTTGTATTATTATATTTGCAATAATAGATAATATTTTATATCGATAAGGCGAAATGTATGAAATTATTAAGTGTAAAAAGGTAATCAAATTTATTGTCGTTTAACATAAATCGCTTTCTCTTCAGGTATCTTTATATTTATTGATGTACGTAAAAGTAATATAGTTTTTCTATTTATTTCTATTTTTTTTCTATTTTGTACTATACAACATACTTTTTCGCTTTTTCTTTCGTTATTGAACCGCCGGCTGTCCCGCGTGGTACGCATAAATTCTGGAACAAACGCATCATACGTGCCCTTTTTTTCTACTTTTTCACGCTGGTTGAATTTTATATCGTTTGACAATGAGCTGCCAAATACGCGATGAAAATACTGCAAAGTTTTCACGTTACCGCAGTCTGCCTTCTTTATTTTCCACACAAAAGAAATTATATCAAAGGTCGATATACATATTACAATATACCCGACGTGTTGCATGCTTGGACGCTTTTCGTTATTGTTTATGCGCTGCTTTATGTATTCACGGCTTCATAGACTTTCCCTCATTTACACGCGACATGATAGATTCGCGGCTATATATACGGCGCGAGAAAAGTCTCTTAACACGCTATGTGACTTTACATTGCATTGTTGGCGATTTATACTTTCTCGGATACGTTCCCCTATGGAAATAAAGGATTATTGCACTAGCAGGTGTTGTTTAATATGTAATTGCTACCGTGTTAAAATCGGAAGGAATAGAATTGGCGTGTATTCGGCCATTTCGACTGTTAACTCTGCGAGAATCACAAATCAAACTATTCCCCCCCTCCCCCCCGAAATTCAAACCTCGTCGACTCGACAAAAGCTGACAAAGCTTTGTATTTATGTCAGCCGGTTTTAATTTTTAATACATCTTCGCACCGCAATATTGTTTTATTTATGGAACGATTAAATAAACGTTCAACCTTTTATCTCCCCTTATCTCTCTTTTCATTAATAACGGGAAATTGATTTACGAGGAATTTAGCTTTTCATTTTGCGAAAGAGGACTTAACGTCAGGGAGTTGAGACTTATTGCGTCACAAAAATTATTACCGAATGCTCGCATTAGCATCAAGAATTATCAAAGGTCAGCGCGTTTATAGTCGCAAGTAAAGATGAACTTTTCCATCCTGGAAAGGTGTCGGGCGATTTTTATCTTTGAGATTCAGATTTGGAGCAATGTCAGTACCTGCAAGAAACATGGCCATGTCAATAAATATTATCGCGCTTAAATTATGCGGTTGCCGCACACGAGATAGGCGACAAATGCGTAGTTGCAAAATACAGTCATTATCTATCTGATAACTCAAGCGCATAATTTCAACATACTTACTGCGCTGGATAATCGCATTTATCCTTCTGTATCGGGCGAACGATCGCATTCTACCTCGCCCTCTTCTTCGAGGTGAATGCAATTTTCAACAATGTTACCACTGGCGCCTCGAAGGCGAGAGAAATACAGAACGACAGCAGGTACGAGGCTACTAAATTGCCAAAATAGAGGATCAGCTGCGAAAGAAATATGCACGGCCTTAGTACAATTTTTGTATCGAGAATTAGATCAAACTGAACTGGAATATTTTATTTTATACACTGTCAAAAATTTGCATCGGCTCAACCAATTGAATAGTGTTTTCGGTGGTTAATTTTCAATGAAATTTATCGGGCATTTTTCTCAGTGTAGAGATTCTAAAAATGTGAAAAGACGTATCTGTCGTGTAGAATGTGTTCTCTAAAAAGTGTAATCGAAAAAAGAATGTTTTCCCATGCGAGAAAATAAGATCGGAGATGCAAAGTAATGTTTTATTTAAAAGTGTACACACATGACATTTATATAAATAGCTGTTTGCGAGTTTACATTCTATGTAATATTCTCAGAATGGAGAAACTTTATTATTTACATCTTAATAACCACAATCGTTGAAACGCACCGAACAACTTGCGTGACGACGTAATTAAAAGCTATTCATTCAATTGATAAGAAATATCTGAGAACTGCCGACTTTCCGAGTTTCTCGTCGCCCGTCGTGAAAGTAAAGTCGCGTATAAAAACGATTTTTATATCAGCTATTTACCTTTCGACATAGAAACATTACGATATGGACCGTTTCATATAAAAATGAAGCAGCGATACGAACTTTATGCCCGAAGGGGAAGATAACCCTTTTATCTTACCACAATCCCATTGTGAAGATGCAGCGGTCCGTCCATCTGTGTAGTCGTGATCATCATGATAACAGGATGCACAAGGTAGGCGCAGTACGTGAGTCTCGAGAGAGGATACATTAGTCGAAGCGAAAGCAAACTGTCGATCATTCGTGCCGACCCTGTGCAGCATTGGATCACGATAAAAGCCACGGCCATCGCCCACGCGGTGTGTCCCAAGGCAGCGTATACGGAGCTCACCATCACCGTCAAATTTCCGGGATATAGTCCGTACACTACCGAGAACATGATGGCCATGGACAGTATCCAGCCGATCAATTCCACTCCCTGCGGAATTGAGGCTCGGTCAGTTTTGTAGAAAGCGTTTCGTCCGGTAAAAAGGCACACTGATAGAAAAAATGGTTAGAAGAACTATAATCTCACTATATTTTATAGTGAATTTTGGCTCCAAACATACTTTTATAGTTTTATTAAACATGCAAAATATAGCAGAGCGAACGCAAATGTATAGTCACTGTGACATAAATTAGCACAACCATATGAAATAGTTACGGTAAACTAAAAATAGATTTTTGTGTAGTTAACCGTACTATAAAGTTACCCGAAACACAGTGAAAAGTACGATAAAACATACGAAATAGTAATAAACCGTACAACAGTATACAATAGGAATACATCGTATTAATATATTGGAATATATTGGTTACATCACTTTGCACTCGTAAAGTATAGTACAAGAAAGCCTCTTTCAAAGAAAAGATAAGTAATCTTACACGAATGTATAAACTTATCCATATTTATAACACCCTATGCGGTTTTCTTCTTACGAGAAAGTCTTGTACCGCGCGTTCCTCCAGGGAGGACATTCCGAACCACTTCACTTTTGTTTGCCATGCGATTAGTAAGGTGGATGATAGAAATGTAGTTAAACTTGCTATTATGATTGCATTTACTATATAAAAATAATTAACTAATTTACTATCCATCACCTGGATATTTTAACAGAATAATAGTTAAAAGCTTATATTTTATAGTAAATTTTTTAAATAGTTGCCATCAGTTTTTGTCTATATGGTTGCTATTACTAATATTATAGTAATGATTACTACAAAAATGATATTCCTGACTATAATTATTTGACTATGCAATTATAGTTTCAAATACTATATATTTTTCTATCAGTGTAGGAGACGCGCGTGTGAGAATCGCGTTTCTCGCGAGACGAGGGAATGGCGCCTCGTTTAGGATATTTCCATGAGCAAATTACTAAGATAGTTATCGTTTTGTATTCTGCGGGGTCATTTTTAACCGTTCTATTGTTCGCGGCCGTTGCCGTGCACATTAGACGTGTGGATTTTGCAATTCGGTAAATCCGCATTATCGCGTCGTTATCGCGCCGCGAGGAGCATGCGAGTATCGCTGACTGATTGGCTAAATGATTAACCCGATAGCGCAAAACCGGTGGGAATAGGTGTTTCGAAACGCTTACCATAGGCAGCTTCAGCTGGCACTTGGTTTTGAAGAGTATGTAACCGCTAATCGTGCCGATGAAATACGGGCCCGCTCTCAGCCAGGGCTTATCGTAGAGCTCGTCGAATAGAGCAAACGGCTCTTGGATCCTGAAGAGTTGATAAAGGAGTTAAGCGTGTACGCAATATCGCGCGCGGCGAAATTGCCGCGCGTCGGCGGGGCGAATAATGCAAAGTACAATGTCGATAGCGCGATATAATAGACACGCGCGCGCCATGAAGCTGTCTGAAATGAAAGCCTGCTTCCAATTACAGGCGATGCTTCGACAGATACCCGGCTTATTGCATTGTTCCTCCGCCGTATTCACCCAGTTTCAGCGTAAAAAGACCCGAGTACTTTATTCGCCGGAAGAGCAAGTCATACAAACGTCATAAGAGGCTGTGTTCCAATTGTTGCATTTCATTGAATAGCCGCGAGAGCCTTTGTTGCTTTCAAATTGTTTCTCTCGTTGATACAATTAAGATCCTCCGCGAGCTATACCGGTGATTATACTTCAAACAGGTTCAACATGTCGATTCAGCATTTTAAGTAACAAACTCGCTCTCAAACCGACAACTAACGAGAGACATCTTTAAGCAGAAAGCCCTCTATGTGAGATAGGTTTTCAACATACAAATTCAATCACAAATCTTTTTTCGCAACGATTACACGGATCTAACAATCAATTTTCCGCTAAACAGACTTCACTCCAAGGGCAATAAACTCATGGCGGCATCGACAGATGATGCCTATTAATTTAGCAGTAACTATCTCATATTAGGAGCAGATCCCATAATAGGGGACTTTACTCTCTCTCTCTCTCTCTCTGTTGTCTCTTAGACGTCTCACGCTTCTCGTCTTATCTGATTTCTCAGACGGATATTTTTTTCTTAAACTGTCTCGCCAATTAGTCACGCGTATTAATATTCACGATACCTGGTAAACTAATAGTTATCATTGATATTACGCAGCGAGCTTATTACGAGCGTATTATCGTTCGCCGTAGCGGACTTGAGAGAAAGCGCGACATGTGTGACAAACGGTACGTGTAATATCGATCGGCAGTCCGAGACATTACCTGGCTATGTAATCGTTGCTGTAGGCTATCGAGAACGTAGTGAACCACGAAGAGACGATCAACAGCGAGACGATAGCGACCGCGGTCTTGAAATATTTCACGGAGAGCAAAAGAAGAAGTATCCCAAGGACGTAAAACTGCGTGTCGTTTGCCATGTACCAGCTCCACAGCATGCACTAGAAAGTTATTAGTGTAATAGGCGCGAATCAATTGCCGGGCAGACTGCATCGCGACGGGATTGCGAAAGTGAGAGAACTGGGACGCGGAGAAAAATTTACGCGCGCGCGCGCGGGAAAGGCGACGCGTTAAATATCGCTTTGACACAAAAACCCGATCCTTACGGGTTCTCTGCCTATCGCTCGTCGAAAGTACGTTGTTAACTTGTTTTTTACATAACCGCGTATTATGCAATACTCTCGTTACCCGTATTTATTGTATCGTCAAGCGTTTAAAGGCCCCGTTGTTTCGAAAGCGGCATTAAAATAATTTCTCAATCTCCTTAAATCCATTATGCGCCTCTCAATAACGAGACTCGATAACGGCTATTTTTTGTTATGAGGTTGATATTTTTTTATTTTCTAATGAAATATATATATATATATATTATATGTACTCGGCGCGTATGCTGTTACAAAATGAGCGCAAAATGAGCGTGAGAGGTTTCGTATTTCGTTGAAAGCTTCGCCTCGCGGGGCACATAGTAACGAGAAAAAAGAAAAAGCACATTAGGATAAGCAGAACATAAATCATCTTACCATTTCCGTACGCGGGTATAGCGAGTTCAAATATAGCGCGTTTCGCCACCAGAACTTCTCGCAGGTCAGGTGATCGATAATAATAGGCGAGAAGACCGTCTTCGCCTGAGCCTGTTTCATAACGATCTCGTTCATCCCCAGCACAAAGAGGTAAGCCGGTGTCAATCTTTGTGAAACAGAGATCAAAAACGAGAACTAGTACCTATATTGTCCGCAACTCATCCGAATTGAGTCGTTTCGCTTCGCTGAAGGGAAAAATTGTTTCGGCGGAAGGATATTATATAATGCCTCGAGTACGCGTATACCTGACAAATCGGTATAAAACCATGATGACGAATTTGGTGAAGCTCGCCTTGGCAAAGTTGCTCTTCTCGATATTGTGATTGCCCAGGGATCGGTAGAAGAGTATAGTCACCAGCAGGCCGCTGTCGATATGAATGGTTGAGATATTGATTTCTGCTTTGTCGCGACAAACGTTTATTGGCGCATTGTTCGTTACCTAATAAAGAAGAAAGTGTCGACGGAAAATGTCGCGTTGCTGATGGTCTGGAACATGAAGTTCCTTTCGGTGACCGTGCGCAATGTCTTGTTCTCTGCAAAAGCGTAATGAGGAAACACTTAATCGCGAAATTGCCGGTGAAAGTATACGCGTATAAAGCGAGGAAGAGAGCTTTCGATTATCGCCGATCGTGAAACCTGATACATCCCATTACATCATAACGCCTATCGGTTGCGTCAAGAGCTACTCGTAGAAAGTAGACCGAGCGAATTAGTTCGAAGCGTGGCTAATGAGGGCACAATTCCCCCGCGCTATTATCCTCTACTCTTCTCGTTTTACACCTGTACGCCTCCGTGTTCTTTGCCGTGCGCCGTGTGTTCGTTCATTTCGGAAAGTGGTTTTTGCAACTCTCACGGAATTACCGGCGATGGAGAAGACCTGAATATAGGTGTGCACCATGATGACCCAGCCCAAGGAGAACACGCGAAGACCGTGGAGACAAGTCAGACTGTCTTTCGCCGCAGGCTCGGTGCTGATGATCTTACTTCCGTTGACGATCGGGCTGAACGCGAGCAAAAATTTCAGCCAGAATCCTGAAAAAGTGGCTACGTCGAGGAATTTTTAAAGCTACCCGGCACAAGAACGTGCCGATGGAGATGTAGATATGCGCCATTAACCTTGGCTGCAATCCTTCCTTTGAACGGGGCTCTCTTTTTGCGGCCGCTTCGTCCCTTTCTCGATCAGCTCCTGATCGTTCTCCTGTCCCATCGAGATTCTGCGCTCTTGGTTCAGATTCTTGTCCATGAAATCGTTGCTCTTGTCATTGTTATTCGACACGCTCGAAGACTCGATGTCCCTTGCGACAGGAATTGGCGATCTGTACTCGTACGCCATCGCGCAGATCATCAGCATCAATATCGCGCCGCCGATGGCTCTGGAACAATAGTATAAATTTATCGTGAGTAAATCTCACGCGGAGAGAACTTTCTTGTAAAACTTATCCTGAAAATTATGCAATCGTGTAGGACAACATTTCGAAGAATTTTGTGACTTTTTTGAAATTTTACCATACATTTTACTTATAGTGCAGCGTATACCAAGTATAATTACTAGTTCACTTTTGACACACCCTACTCTTCGCTCTCATTGTACGCGGAGAGAATGTTCTCTTAAAATTTATCCTGAAAATTATGCAATCGTGTGGGACAACATTTCGAAGAATTTTGTGAGTTTTTTGAAATTTTACCATACATTTTACTAGTGCAGCGTATACCAAGTATAATTACTAGTCCACTTTTGACACACTCTACTCTTCGCTCTCATTGTACGCGGAGAGAATTTTCTCTTAAAATTTATCCTGAAAATTATGCAATCGTGTGGGACAACATTTCGAAGAATTTTGTGAATTTTTTGAAATTTTACCATACATTTTACTAATACAGTGTATACCAAGTATTATATAATTACTAGTACACTCTTGACATGCCCTACTCATCGCTTTCATTGTACGCGGAGAGAACTTTCTCTTAAAATTTATCCTGAATATCATGTGATCGTGGGACAACGTGGCATTTTGAATAACCTTATGAAAGTTTTTGGAAATTTTACCATACATTCTACTAGTAAAATGTAACTGTACTAGTAAAATGTACGCCAAGTATAATTACTAGTGCAATGTATGGTAAACTCAAGAAACTCTCATAAAGTTCTTCACAATGCCACGTTGTTACAGGCTCGCATGATTTTCAGGATAAATTTTGAGAGAAAATCTCTCCGCGTACAACGAGAGCGAATAAGAGTGTATATACAGAGTGTCCCAGGAGGAAAGGACAATATTCTGGGAGGTGATAGTATCGGTCATTTTAAGCAAAAATGTTCATATGAATATATGTCCCATTCCCCACTATTTCTGAGATAGAGTTACTTAAATGTCTCGTGTATGTACTTTTTTTCTGTACACTTCACCCTTCATGCAACCTCATAAACGTCTGCGGAAATTTACTCTTATACGTCTGCTGACTGTTGCGCTGATAACATAGTAGAAATGTTGAAAACACCTCGCATATTCACAAATGTCGAACGAGCAACACACCATGTTCACACAAGAGTTGAAAAATGCATTGTTGTTAACGGTGGAATTTTTGAAAATTTATTATGATCTGTAAAAAATGTATCACTTAAACAATTAGAAATAGTACGTAGTGTTTCTTTCTTGTCGGTAATTTTGCAACTGTACATTCAAATAGCCCTATCTCGGAAACAGTGGCGAATGGGACATATATTCATATGAACATTTTTGCTTAAAATGACCGATACTATCACCTCCCAGAATATTGACCGTTTCTCCTGGAACATCCTGTATAACGATACATTTTCATTTTCTTTACCCTTTGGTGCCTCGCGTGCGAGATAATTGCGGAATTGCTCGCGATTGCAGGAAACAAAAATGTATTTCACTTTCTTTCTCAATCGCTTGAAAATCCCCCCCGCATAACAGAGTTATCGCAAAGCCGAACATGCGTACAAAGTTAGCGCGTGCTACTGAATAGGTAGATCGCGAATGGACTAAGAGATTAAATGGACCGGCGCGCCGGTAGAAACTCGCTGTCTTTAGAGGCGCGTTTAGCCCACGGTTTTACACCAAGCCCATGAAGTCGCAAGGTGCTCTATAGCCGTGTGTCGCTTTTGTCCCCCCGTTAACAATACTAACTTCTGCATTCAGTGCACAAGCATTGTATTGCGGAGGGATGCGCTTATAAGCGAGGTCGGTGTGTAACGTGCTTACACACGCTGCGCTGGAAATTTCGCAAAGCAATGCGTGTGTCGCTTAAACCGATGCACCGATGCGTTAGAAAATTTCATGGGGCAAAGGGCCGGTACGGATCCGCGCAATTTAATAATCAAGTGTCACCGGGAGCACGCCGCGTGTAAGCACGTTAACTTTTTCAATTTCCGGTTGAGCTGTATAGCCGGCGGAGCCGAAGGGCTTAATGTTCCGGGAAATTAAATTCGGAAAACTACTCGCGGCGCGATTTTCCGCGGTCGCTCTTCCACGGGAAATTTAATCTTTTCAGAAATTAATAATCCTCTATCTTAATTACGACGAGAAGCGCATGTGTGTTCATTATTGAATATGTTGAACGTTCGTTGAGGCGCGGGAGAAAAGGAAGGAGAGAAAGGGACAGTTTTCACGCGATATTTTGAAAGGTTTGGCTCTTTCAAGAAAAGATACGCTTGGCCGTTTTCTTGCAAAAACTTCTCGCAATAATAGAGGGAGGTCCCTTATTATGAGATAGGCTTCTTATATAAGACAGTAGGGTCTCTGCTAAATTGTTATAACAGGCATCATCTGTTGGCTCCATCATGTATTTATTGTTCTTGAAATGAAATCTGTTTAGTGGAAAATTGTTAGGTCGTGTAATTGTCGCGAAAGAAGATTCGTGATTGAATTTGGATGTTGAAAACCTGTTATCTCGTATCAGAAGACTATCTCACATTAGGAAACTTTTCTCTACTAAAATATGTATCTTTTATTATCGTTACGAAGAGTTTCACAACTCAACGTGATCCGCAGTCGCAATTCGCACGCGTGGCTCTAAATTATGATGAATCCGAGCGAAGCTCCCATTGATTCGATTAGTCACGACGAATCCGACAGTTTCGCGATGAAAAATTGACACGTCCATGCTTCATTACGGAAGTACGTTGGGTGTGATATCGAATTTTCGCGTTGAAGATTAACGCACAATTGGGATTCATAATTGATAGACATACTGCGGAATAATTAGGGGGAATTTAATAACACGCCCATATTTTATAAATCTCTAGACGTTTATGAATCGATTTTCGCTCAAATGAATTGACATACATTGCCAAGAATTATCGCTTTAAAAAAAAATTTTTAATTGACATATTGGCGCACGTAACGCGACATAAAATTATCGATATGAAAGTCCGAACCACAAGAGGTCTCTGTGTGTTATCTCGAAATTTTTATATTTGCAATTTCTCTTTGTGCTTACATTTGGTTGCATCTGATTGCATGAAGTCACAAAAGTCACAAAAGTTGTTTTACAGGATATTCCACTTGTACATTTCCGTATCAACTGGCACAAAATCCCGAGCGCGAGTGGCCGGTTAAAGTGGATTCGGACAATGAATCTCGCAGTTTCGGACCGCGCACTTTTCGAGGCTAATGGCCGAAGGAACTTCCGCTTTATATCTCTTTGTCGGCTTTAAATTATTATTTTTGCCGGAACAGTCCCGGCGCGGGTAGGCGCTTTTGCGGATTTCTCTCTCCTCCCCGCGGCACATTTGTGCGCGGCTTAAATGCGGGTCTCCGCGCGAAATAGAATGGCAACAGGCTTTCTTTCCTTTCTCTCTCTCTCTCTCTCTTTTTTTAAGATACGACCCATTTTAACGCGCTACGCGCGAAATTCGACAGGGAGAGAGAAGCAGAGACGATCCGAATGCGAGGCGAAGGAACAAAAGTTTCACAAGCGAAGTTTTGTTGCGACCTTTTTCTCCTTTCTCCTTTTCCTGCTCCCTCGTCTTTCTTTCGTATCTCGAATTCTTGTTGCTCCGTTTTAATCCTTTAGCCGCCGTCGTCGCGTTTATAACTTTCATTCGCTGGAGAAACCTTTTTCCCCTCGCTTTTTTTTTTACAGCAAAGTGTTGGACGCGCAATGAAATAAATCGCGGATCTTCGATAGCCGCGCCTTGAAACTTTTATAGCCGTTGGAAATAAATAAACAGAGCAACTTTGTTTCGTAATTCGCTAGCAATCGCGTCTTTGATATTTTATTTCAAATCTCGATGGCTGTGCCGCATCGGTTCCCCGGTGAGTCAGTTCGGCTTACTTAACTCGCTATCACACGTCCGGTTTGGCGTTCACTTTACATGAGCCAAAGGCTTTCGTTTCGTGTCACCATCAGTTAAACTCTCGTCCGATTTGCTCTCGTTTCCTCGCTCCCTTTCTGATAGCCTCGTTTATCAACGCGGCAGGTGGGGTAACCCGAGGATATTTACCACTGTCGCAATTGCGTGCACGTTGACAACATGCTGAAAGTTACGCGCTTATCGCAAGGTTGTAATACTCTCGCGGGGGAATACGCCCACGTGCACGAGATCGCATATATTATAACAGGCTGAGAGCAACGAAAGCTCGATAATATCCTTTAACGATCGCGCGATCGGCCGGCGCGCTATCTCCGTCAAGCTTTTTTCTTCTTCCTCTTGTGTCCTGTTATTTCTGACTTTTCATGCCTCTTGCGAAGTTGACGTCCAACTTTCGACCCAGCGTTTAGGCGGTCCGCTTAAAGGTCTCGTGGCTTCTGTGTCTTTGCCCATTTTGCCAGTCGTTCTGGGTCCTATCGACAGAGTCTCCCCCCTTCTGCGTGCTCTTGTCCATCTCACCACGTCTTGGATATCCAGTTCCTCATTCTCTCGTTTCTTATTCTGTCTCTAAAGGCCTGTGTCCACGACGATAGAACTTGGTCCAAGTTCTAGTTTCGAGAAATGTGTAGCCAATCAACCTGCAGCTTTTATGGAACACAGCTGTAAGACCGATCTGGACCAAGTTCTAGCATCGTGGACACAGGCCTTAAGCGTGATTCCTTTGGACAAACGTGGGACGTTAACGGGCGGCCACTCGTCTGACCATGATACAACTAGTATGCCCACTCTGTTGGCCCTTTGATCTTTTTGGTCCCGATCACGTGATATTCCGCCATGTTTTTGGTCAGGATCCAACGGCGTATGTGTGTGTGTACGCACCTGTCAAAGCTACACTACCACCCATACAACTTTTCTCTCATTGGTCTGGCGGAAAATAATGACGGATGCGCAGAAGGGATCGACGCGAAACCAAACAAATGAGTAGGCATACTAGTTACCTTTACTACGGTCCGACGTTCTCCGTTCTGGATGCAATCG